GTACTTTTTAAAATGATTTTCTTCTTTACTAATGTAGCTAATATATATCATGTCCTTGGCACATATCATGTAGGTAATGAATGTTATGTCCTAAGCAGAAGGACACAGTGATATATTCCTCCTAATGCTTTTACTGAGAAGACAGACATTAAAGAATTTATTAAAATAGGATATCAAGGCTTATACTGGGTGAAGTATTAGAAGTTAAGAAAGCTCACAGGATAAAACCCAATTTCTTAGTCATAAATGTTTTTCTCTTCCCCCAAATGGGACACTTTCTAAAGACACGTTAATAGCTGAATAGTGTTAATCTACTTAATATCATATGTAAAGGTTGTTTTTAATTTTTAGCTGTCCTATTAAAGCAGTGGACATCTGAACAGTTAAATCTTTGTTCCTGACCTCTGGTAGTTTTTTTAGGACATATTACTAAAGTACTATTTCTGGGTTAAATGATAAACAAAATGTAGAGGCTTTTGATAAGCGTTGTCAAATTGACTTCTATAAATGTCTGTACCTTTTTATATTTCACCAGTAGTGCAAGAAAGTGCCCATTTCACCATACCTTCTGCATTCTTACATTCATTACTTAAAACAAATTTTTTTCAGCAGTTTGATAAGCTTTGTTGCAAGTAGACGATGATGATGATGATGATGGTGATTATTTTGGTCCACTTATCTTTCTTTAATGTATTCCTTGTTCACATCTCTCTTATTTGATGTGGCAGTGTTCATCTTTTTGTTTGTACTTCATCAGTTTTGTGTAATAATGATACTAACTCCATGGAAAAGGGAGTGAGAAGTCAATTAATTATAGTGGAAAAATGAGCAGCAAAACACCTTGCCGTTCTGCTCCCACTCAATGTGTGAGTTTTCCACACCATGTACTTCTGATACCCTCTGGAATTAGTGTTAGACCTCACAAGTTAAGGACTCAGCCCACAAGACTGGCTCCCACTCAGAATATTTTAAAGGGCACACATGGAAAGCCCAAATGAAGAGATATACAGGGTGAAGTCTGGAAGTCCTCAAGCTCAAGAGCTATTCCTTTGGAGTTGGGGTGTGCCCCCGTTCTGGTACATGGATGTGTTTATCACCCTGGAAGCTCTCCAAACCCCATACTTTTGGGATTTTTATGGATGCCTCATCAATTATTAACTCCATTTTCAGCCCTCTTTGGAGAATGGGCTTGGACTAAAGTTCCAAACCTCTAATCATGGCTTCTGGTGATAAGAGTCCATTCAGGAGCCACCAAGGAACCCACCAAGTGTCACCTCATTAGAAAAGATATCCCTAACATCCAGAAAATCCCATGGGATTTAGGAGTTCTGTGTCAAACACTCTTACCTGGAATTACAAGGGTTTTTGGAGCTCTGTATCAGGAACCGGGGCCAATGACCAATATATTAGCAGGCATTGAAGGCAGATTTTATATATTTATATTTATCTCCTTTTATTTCACAAATGGTAGAATGTTTGTTGAGTCATTTATTTCAGAGCCTGCAATCAGCTATTGGACTCACATCTGTAATTTTATGGTCCCATATGACATGCATATATATCCTATTTCTTTTGCCCCTTTTCATAATATTTTGTGCTCTCTTACTAGTATTTTAATATACTGAAGCCCAGAGATGACTCTGCTCATGATTATTTTTCAACTACTTAAAGATAATCAACTTTTATTTCTTCTCTTATAGATCTACCCATTTTTTCAGATTAACCAGGATCAAAGGGACCTGTGAGCCAGCTGTTTCCACAGCTATTGGGACTATTTTCTGGGGAAGAAGGGAACCTGTCTGGGCCTTGGTGCTGCACACTTGTGGCTATTTTTCTATCTCCCTTCAGATATAAGTATTTCTGCTATTCTGAGGATAGTGGGAAAGCAAATAGCTTTCATAGTGCCCATCCAGCAGGCTTCTTACTTCTAATATGCTAAGCCATAATGCCAGTTTGAGTACTAGGTAAAGGAAAAAATGATAGGTTGCATTAATGCAAAATAACACTCGGGGTGTTCATACGTGTGTACGTGAGGGACGTATGAGCTTGAGTGACATGGTCACGTACAAATGGCTTGAGAGGCAAATTAAAGGAAACACATTTATTGTGTTTTGTTGAAAGAATTTGACTCAAGAAACAGTTGAATCCGGATGGAAACAATCAAGGTGATAGAAAATTAGTTTCTCCTTTGTATCAGAATGAAGAGATCTCCATATTAGAAAACTTCGTTAAAAAAAGTTCTCTATAATATAGTGGCATTTAAAATGGTTTTTGAAGAGCAAAATTTTTTTAAAACATTTTGCTGCCAGAAAATTAAGTTCTAAACGCTGGCATTAGTTTCAGTCTTATGTCAAGAGCCAAATGGATTAATAATGAAATATCAAAGGAAAGTACAATCTCTCACTTAAATGTTTTAATGATAATAATGACTTAACACTTGATAAGAAAGCTGAAAAAGAATATTATTCCCATCCTGCAGTTTTCATAATAAATGAAACTTTCCCGTGGAGAAAATAGTCTCCTTTAAGACAGGTTCAGAGTAGGGCATGTCAGGAAATGATTCCACCTTGATTAAAATTTTTCTTCATATATTCAGTCAGTTCCTTATCTTGATTTTTCAAGTAGAAAAATAAATGAGAATTTTAAGCCTTAGTAAAACATTATGGAAATGTAAAAATCAGTAAACATTAAAAAGCCAAACTGAAGATCTAAATCAGTAAATGACAATTAAGAACCTTCCAGATTTGAGGCAAACAGATGTACTCAATGATCAGACCTAAATGTGCCCAGCTAAGGACTATCTTTGGTTTTTAGGTCTTTCTTTTTAAATGCAACTTTTCCAGGAATATAAATACTGGTTCTGATTCAGAAAGTATGTTTTGCCTTTAAATACTTCTGAATTTGAAGTAATTCTGAAGGAGGCTATGGTGTGTTTTGATACTATTTTGTATTTCAGACATCAACATTTATTTATACATTGTTTTTATAACAGATTTTATATTGAGATAGCTGTATGAATTCACACAAAGTCATTTCTTAGTACTTTTTAGTTGTTTTGAACCATCTGAATACAAAGTTTATAAAGCAAAATAGATATATAGTATTAGTATTAGTAAGAATAGTATTAACATGGTAAATATGTGCTATGACATCAATATTTTGATATGAGTATTTGATATATTTTTTCTCCCCAATACATTGGTTTTATTTGATTATTCTCTGGAAATAGTTTAAATATGAACAATTTTATAATGAGCAGGCTTAGGTTTGATTTTGACTTTGACACTGAAATGTATTTTCTTTGTATACAGTAAACATAGCAATGACCTGTATCTTTTCAAGTTGTTTTTATTTTGCATTTTTTATAGTTTTCCTGTCTTTGACATATTAGTAATTTTATTTTATTTTTTTTGAAACATACCTTGTTCTGGCAACTATGAGGTTGTCTTTTGCAAAGATGGCACAAAGAATGCCTTACTATAAAATGCTAATACTCGATATTAGTAAGTTAAAAATGTTACTTTACAAATCACATTATTATGGATTTGGAGATTTAAAAAAACATATCATTTGGATTATGCTAATCTAAAAAATAATCTTTTATCGATAAATGCTATACTTACAAAGAGTATTACATCTGGTGGAGATGTTAAATCTCCAAATTAAAAAAAATTATTGTTAATTCTGATTGTTATTAGAAAAATTAAAAAAAATTTGGGGACCCAGAAAAAAAGTTGAAGTCTACCCCCATTGCTCTGCAATAGGTTACTTTCACACGTGTGACTGAGCCATTTTTAAAAGCACACTTTAAAGGATTCATTAGATAGTCTAGCCTAATTATGTACCATTAGATGTTTAACCAGTTTTCAATTATAATTTGATCATTCCAGTTTGAGTGACTAGGTGCATGGTGGAGAAATATTTCAAAATTAGAAAAAGAAGAGCAAGAATGTGTTTTAGGACTAGCTGAGGCATTTCGATGTGATTTGAAGGCTCTGTGCCACATAGCTGTTATGTGGTTGGAAATAGTAACTTTGAAAAAGAATTCTGTCCTTACCGCTTTGAAGATGAGCAGTGTAGAGATATAAGAGGTTAAAGTCTTGGTCATGGGTGGGATTACTTGGGAGAAGTCAGAAGACAGACTGCTCTGTCCCTGGTGTGTACAAGTGTTTTGATGACCGAACATGCTGTCTGTCTGCGGCTCATCAGGTTATACTCTCAGCTTTCGTTTCTTCTTGCTGCTTTAGGGAAATGGGCAGGAGTCGGTGTGTCTTCAATGTGTTGTGTTCTGAAACAGTCTTCTTATTCAGTGATGACTACAGTTATGAAATCAAAGCTTGCATATGCAACTAATTAATTAAGCTGGATTGCTTGGATATTATCCCCCAGCTGTATTATGTATGGTACGGTATTGTGGAAAGCTTTTCTCTAATGTTGTTTCTATCTCACGGATATTGAAGGCTAAAGCTCTCTAGTGGCTCTCTGAAAATGAATACCTTTTTCTGCTGACTTTGTACCATCACAACTTATTATTTGCGAATAAAATGATATACCATTAGTGAATAGTAAACTGTTAATAACATCAGAAATTCCTGGTGAATAAAAAGACAAATGAGTTGTATTTATTTATTTTGATTCCTGCTGTTAACTGTTTTACTTTTGTGGTTTAGGATATATAAACAGACCAAAAAAAAAAAAAAAGATCCCAAATTCTAGGAGTCTACATGTCTTCAGTCTTCAGCTGTATTTTTCCCTACTTTTCTCAGAATCTGGTTTGAGTTTGTTTCAATATTGAAACAAGTGCCACATGAAAATATTAACAGCTGGTTCCAGGAATCATCTGGAGGGGGTGCAGATGCAGTTATCATGGATCTTGTCACGGAACTTTGGTGGAAATACTGTGTGTGAGGATTACAGACTGCTCATTAGCAGTTTTTAAAAATAGCTATGAGAAAGGAACATTGGAATATAACGTGCTGTGCAATTTTGTTTCCTACTAGAAAGCAGAAGATGAGGATATTGTTCTCACACCTGATGGCACCAGGGAATTTCTGACGTTTGAAGTTCCACTTAATGATTCAGGATCAGCGGGTCTTGGTGTCAGTGTCAAAGGTAACCGGTCCAAAGAGAACCATGCAGATTTGGGAATCTTCGTCAAGTCCATTATTAATGGAGGAGCAGCATCTAAAGTAAGCAAATGTTAACTTTACCCAGCTTATGCACATTAACAAAAATATTTAAGTACAACCCTATTCCTATCTTGGAAACATATACACAGTGTGGGGGCGGATTTCTTGTTCCTCTACCCTCTTGTGTTCTTTATCTATGGCCTGTGAATTCAACTGGCAAAAGACAGATGAACAGAACATGTTCACAAATTTTATTGATGTTAATATTTAAAATTTTCCACATACAGGGGTTCTACAGAAAAGAGAAACCTAAAGAAGTGGTTAGACTCAGAAACCAGATACCATTTTAGCAAAGGGCAATGAATTGTGGAGCAGTGATTGGACGAGGAAAAGGGGGTTGGGGCTTTGGGGTGGCAAATTGTAGGACGGTAAATATATGGCAGAAACTAGTGGAAGATAAGGTTTATTTTGTACGGTCTGTTTTGTAGGCTGACTAATCTCAGTGCTCTCTGTGTCTCTCGTGATGAGGGTCATTTTTTTACTGGTTTGAGAGAGGAAAGGAGACATCTTCCTAAGAGGAACTCTATGCCCTGCACTTAGCCAGAGAAGGGAAGAACAGAGAGCTCCTTCTCCATCTGCCATTTTTCAGTTGCCTTCAGCTCAAAATAGTCCTTATGCCAAAATGGTGTGTTTTGGAGCAACATATTCAGATACCCTGTAACACTTACCAAGTGTCTTTTGTTTTCTTCATAGTAGCCCATGCATGATCAAACTAATAGAAATCTTGGTGGTCTCTCATTTGGGGATGAAATCATAGCTTCAAGTCCCCATTTTTGGTCTCACAGAATTTACAACCCATAGCCCTTATAGTTGAAAGAAGATAATCTGTGCAAAGACTTAGCGGAGGTTCTGGCACAGAACTGCCCTGCAGTAAAGCTCATCTTCTCCTTCCTTGACTATGGATCACCTAGACTATTCCCCAGTCTGGAGAAAGTTTCCTGGCTATTTGTTAAGGGGGCACCTCTCTGCAATTGTGTAACAGCCTTGAGCTTTTTCTTGTCTTGGGTTGTAAATAACCTCTATGGGTGTCTCTGGAAGCAAGAAAGTAATCACTTTGTATCCTTTAAATTAGTATGCTATTTTGGTAAACAGATTATGATAATGACTTAGTTTACAAATGTATAAATGATTGAACTAGACACAGGCTGCAGTGGCTGCTTAGACATTATTGTGCTCGTGTTCAATTGGGCATAATCCATTAGGATTAAAGCCTCTTTTTATCCCCCTTGTATTTATTTATTTATTTATTTATTTATTTATTTATTTATTTATTTATTTACTAAAGAGAAAGCAACTTCTTTTATAACAGTGTATTTAATAGCACTTATTTCTACCTGTTTTCTTCCCAGGATGGAAGGCTTCGGGTGAATGATCAACTGATAGCAGTGAATGGAGAATCCCTGTTGGGCAAGACAAACCAAGATGCCATGGAAACCCTCCGAAGGTCTATGTCCACTGAAGGGAACAAGCGAGGAATGATCCAGCTCATTGTTGCAAGGCGAATAAGCAAGTGCAATGAGGTAAAGTATAAAAAATGAAAAGAAGACTCTAGCATTTGAAATTGTAATAAGACTAAGTTTTTGTCCTAATATTGGACAAAGAATGGCAGGTTCTGGGACTTTGCTTCAAAACACTATAAATTATCTTTGCTCTCTTTATTGCATTGTCTGTGGACTATGATTTGTTCTCTTAAATATGTGATCAAAATATCCCTAAGTGTGCACTAGTATTTCTGTCTCCAGCTCAACAAATAACACTGGGATCTTAAAAGCACCTTCAGTTGGTTCTCTTTTTGAAAACGGCCATACCTTCCTGTTGGGAGCCAACAGTTTCTCTTCTGTTCAGTAGTGTTGTTCCTAGGAGAGAGAAACAATGAAATAATGGCTTGTTCATTTGATTTATCAAAGTGGGATGCTTATTTCAAAGCCCCTGAAAGGGGAGAGTCTGTTTCTCTTGTGACCTTGTCAAAAATGTAAGTCTCCCCTCCTATTCTCCTGTGTCTCCTTTCTCCTTTACTAAAGGGTTGAATATTTTCCCCTTGACTGCATGCTTTTTCAGTGATATCTATTGCACAGTGCCATGGCTGGCTCTGAATACATGTAGCAGGTATGTAGTTAGGAACGAGTAGGAAGAATATCCTCTCTTGAAGGTTATGATCATGTTTTCCCAAATTGTAAAAACTTGCTAAGCAGAAACATACTTTCTTGCATAATGGGGCATTTGACAATTTAACAGGAATTATATATTTATGTGATTATATTAAACCTAAAAAAAGTTTATAGTTCTGTTATAATTTATGTGCCATCCATAGGAAATAGGTGGGAGCTGAGAATTTATAGAGCAAACCTTGTTAAAAAAAAAGTAGAGTTTGTTTATGTTTTTAACCAATGCTCAACTCCCCACATTAAAAAATAAATTTTTTTTAATGTCTCTTTATTTTAGAGAGAGAGAGACAAGAGGGAGGGTGGGGGGGGAGACACAGAATCTGAAGCAGGCTCCAGGCTCCGAGCTGTCAGCACAGAGCCTGATGAGGGGATTTTCGAACCCACAAATAGTGAGATCATGACCTGAGCTGAAGTCTGATGCTTAACCGACTGAGCCACCCAGGCGCCATGTCAACTTCCTACATTTTTAAATCAACTAAAAGGAAGTGCCTAGGAAATCATATAAACTGAAAATTATATCCAAATGGTTTAAGTGTTTTTCTTAATTTTAAAATCTATGTTATATGTATAAAGTGGAACTATTTAGATTGCTTGACCACTCATGCCATCCTGTAGTATATTCCTATTTTGCAATGAAAGTTGAGTACTCAGTGTTGAGGTGACCAGTTTTGGAAAGGTTATTGACTATTATTTCTTTATTGTTTTTATTTTTCAAATGGAGAATTTGTTAACAATAAACAGTTAATTTCCGTAACAAGGGAACACTGAACCTTAACTTAAAATTCACTTTCATAAGATAAAAATTCACTTTCGTAATATAAATATAAATGCTAATCCCTCAGAGTAGCCTACTGGAATGGTTTTCCTGAGACGTAGAGTTTGTATTTGATGCCAAAATTTATTATTTTGTCTCAAAAATTATTAAATGATTTTTTAAATATAAGTCCTATAGGGGCACCTGGGTGGCTCAGCTGGTTAAGTGTTTGACTCTGGATTTCGCTCAGATCATGATAGCATGGTTTGTGGGTTTGAACTCCCTCTCTCTCTGTCCCTCCTCTTCCCTCCCTCCCTCACTCTCTCTCTCTCTCTCTCTCTCTGTCTCAAAATAAATAAATAGACATTAAAAAAATAAAATGCAGATCCTTTGAAGTGCTAAATGAAAAGTCTCCACAGTAAGTTCACAAGTATACTGCTCTTTATTAGGTCTTTTTCTAAACCTGAAGGACTTCACATTCACAGGACAGTATTCTCCGGCAGACGTTTATTGAGCATCTACTAATCTACTATATACAGGAAGTGTGTTAGATCGCTGGCATATGGCAGTGATTAAAAACATACCATGCTCCTTCTCTCCTAGAACTTAAATTCTGCTGCAGAATATATCATATTCTCAGTCCCTCTTAAAATAAATTAGAATTTGTAACACCTTCTCAAAGTTTTCCCTGACAGATAAACATTGGATTAGAGTTCTAGGGACACTGAAAACATATGAATATCACTGAAGACCAGCATTCTGAATCTGGACATGCTTTCCCCTGATTCAGATGGTTCCTCGTTGTTCCCCAAGCAGTAGCAGAGCAAACCTGTACCAGCCTGAAAATGTTTTGATAAAAGCACTGATTTTATTCCCTGTTGTCCTGTAAAACACATGAAATTGGAATCCCACTGAAATATTTCTGTGTCTCATTCACTTCTGCATATGAATTTATGTGAATGAAATGATTTAAGTAAGGGAACAGCTGCAATAGATAGTAATAGACTTTAATATTCAATATTCCTTATGGTATCATTTTCATACATTGCTGGTTATTACTATTTCTTAGGAGGGTATAAGCTTATAAAACAATTATATCAAAAAAAATCTTATCATAAGTGCTGTGCTTTCTTTGTAATACTACCGAGAAGCCTTTTGTACTGACAGGATTTAACTAAAGAATTATATGAAGACAGAAGAGCTCAGTTCAGCTTCCCATAAGGCATAAGACATGATTTTGCTGCTGTTGTACTTATATTATATATTACCTTTGGAAAAACATCTCTCTGAATTACAAGAGAGTATGTGTAAATTGTGTTACAGTAAATATTGATATAAGCGTACGGTATCTTGTCATGAATGAACCTCAAGCCAAAATAATGTGCTTTGAGTTCTGTCCTTCTGGGTCTATTAGTCAGCCACAGAGTCTGGTCTTTGACAACATCACAAAATTATATTTTACTAACTCATCTTTAAATCAAGGGTTTGCATACTTAATTTCAAGCCAGAGAAGATGAGAATTTGCAAAAGAAAATTGTACATTGTTACCTCTTTCCTTGCCCTTTTCTTGTATGAAGGAAGTGTCATATATTATCTTAATATTTTTATTCAAACATTTTTTGTCAACTGTCCACTCTAGGTATCATCTTCGCCTGAATTTCACTGAACAGCACACTTGGAGATGTTCTTGGGAAGAGGTTTCTCAGTCTCTTTTGCTCAGCCTTTCAGGAATCTTGGAACACCACCCATCTTGAATCTTTTCTTAACCTGCTCTCCCCATTTTTCTCCTCCTTCCCTCTGGCTCTTCTCTCTCCTTTGAGGTTCATTTATTTCTGCCTGTTCTTTTATTGTTAGTACTTCTCAAAACTTTCCCTGGGCTGTTTCTTATTCCACACATGCTCCCTGGGACATCTTCAGGTACCAGTGATGCTATTATGGTTCCCATAACCCTGTCCCCAGCTCAGAATTCTGTTCCAGTTCCAGATCCCTCTGTCTAACTGCCCATGGAGATACTTGCTGGTTTGTCGCTCAGGCACCTCATTCACCAGCCCCCAACGCTGCTGGCTTCCTCTATCCTGTCTTGCCTCCCCCCACCCTATAAACCACACCACTGCTCTTTCAGTTGTAGAAGATGGAGAAGGGGGATCACTCTTCACCTCTCAAATGCCTTTCCTGTCTCTATCGCCTCTGTTTCCAGAACCTCTCTCTCCTCAACCCACTCTTCTGCAGCTGCTCTGCTATTGCCCCACTCTAGGCCCATGGTCTTGCTGGGGTCAGTGCCAAAGCCTCTACAGGGATTTCTTCCTTGGTCCATTCTCCACACTGCAGTAAGGCAGGTTTTTTCACAAAACAAATTGCTCATGTCCCTTTCATCTGATATCCCTTCGGGACGTTTTCAGCCTGTCCAGGACAGATGCCCGTCTCCATCACACAGCCCACTGGGACATGTGGAAACTTCCTGTGCAGTCTGCTTGAGCTACTCAGCACTCCTTGCACTTTCTTAGACACATGATACTCTCTCACCTCCAAGTTTTCCCCATGAGCCCATTCTGCTCCTTGTCCTCACAAAGACAGCCTTTAGATTTTAGTTTCTCTCACCGGGGTGTTTCCGGGGTGCGAGTACTTGCCTCCACCTAGCAGCATTTACGCTGTCATAGTTCCCTTTTTGGTTTTCTTTCATGAGGCCTGTAAATTCTGAGATGTCCAAGATGTTGTCCATCTGTCATGTTTCTCTCTCTCCATCACTGAGGTACAACCCAGAGTAGACACCTAAGCATGAACTGAATGATAAGGGAAATAATCCTGGAGAGTCTTGTGTTTTGAGAAGAGCTAACAGGGGTGTCTGGGGGCTCGGCTGCTTGAGCATCTGACTTGATTTCAGCTCAGGTCATCAAGCCCTGCATTGGACTCCACACTGAAAAGTAGAGGCTGCTTGAGATTTTCCCCCTGCCTCTGCCCCTCTCCTGCTCATACTCTCTCTCTGTGTCTAAAATTAGAATAGAATAGAATAGAATAGAATAGAATAGAATAGAATAGAATAGAATAGAATAGAATAGAAAAGAAAAAAAGAAGAGATAACTTAGTTAATATTAAAGACTGAAGTTCTAAATAAAAAAAAAAAAACATCAGGCATGGTAACCAAATTAATATTTTGGCAGTGATTCTGAATTTCCTTTGCTTTCCTTGGATCTAATGTTCTTGCTTAACTGCATTTAAAACATCTCATAAGCAATAATTGTTTCTTTAGGAAAAAAGAGAAAAATGGCTTTCCTTTGTTTTGTGCTCCTGATTGATGGATTGACTTTTTTGGAGACAAATTTTGTAAGTCCTGACATTCTTTCCACTGGAAAAAAAATACATAAAGCAAGAGGCGGAAACACTGGGTATCATCACAAAGGACACATTTGTTGAGGACCTAGAAGGAGATATGGGAGTAAATACCTGACATCATCCCTTGAGGATTGAAAGTAACCTGTGTGTGAGAATTATGCTGATTGTAGATGTCCCAAGGAAATTAATATTTTAGAAATTACTGCAGTCTAACATAGCTTACAGTCATCTCATTATATCGGTGTTAGACGTGATTTCATACAAAGCCTTGCCTTAGTACTTGTTGAGAATGGGACCAGGTGAGCTTTGTCTTACACCCCAGGCTGAAGGATCTAGTTAGTCATCAAGGACTACTTTAAAATGAGTTCTCTCTGTACATTTAATCCTCTTAGAATTAGAAAGCCATATTAAAATAGGAAGGGGCCTAAGGTATCATTTATGGCTCTCTTCACTTTATATATTAAGAAATAAATGCAGAAAGGTCAAACGATTTGTTTAATGGCTGCAAGGCCAAGGTAGTGGCAAAGTAATTTAGAAGCAGGGTGCCCATTCATCTTATGCATGTGAGTGGGCCTAATTGATTGTGATTGTGTTGTTCAGGCACTTTGTATTCCGGTTGTGTTAAGAGGCAGCATACAATAAAGCATGGGCTTTAGCGTCAGACCTTCCCTTACATTCTGGGTGTGCTGCTTACAGGCAGAATGACTTGGGGGAACTTACATTACCGCTCTGATCCTTGCTGTTGCCCACACGGCAGAGCAGGGTACAGAGGAGCTGAAATGCTGTCCTGATTGATAGCAGAGCCTAAACTGGCCACTCTTCTCCAAAACCCAAGCCTGCCCTTTTATTCATTGTTTTGTGTTTACCTGTCCTTCAGATGTTAGTACTTTCCACAACACAGAATTGTTAATGTAGGCTCAGTTGCTGTATTTCAACATTGTACTGTGCCCTCAGCTTTAGGCTTGCTTCCACATGGCCTCACATGTATAAATCTCCAAACCATTTTGAGGAAAATCTGAGTCATTTACTTGGAAATGAATTTATTCGCCCAGTTATTTACCCAGTACCTGCTCTGTGCCAGGCGTTGGGGATAAAATAGAATAAGCCCATAAATACTGAAATATCGAATAATAAGAGTATGCAGATTGTTAACTAGAACTCAGTCTTAAGTTTGATGTAGAAGACTAGGGCCATATCTATGCCAGGTTTTCAAGGCTTATAGTCAAGATGGTGGGATACATTTTCTTTATGTGAAAGACCTCATTTGACCCATTAATGCTTACCTACATGAACGTGAGAATTTACTAACCCCCACAGAAATTATATTAGCTTTTTAAAAGAAGCCAGGATTTTAACTATTCCTCAGAAAGGTAGTCCAAGTATATAATGAAAAGCATATTCATTGGACAATATCCAGTTTCTTTGTTATTAAATAGCATTTATATTTTCTGATTATAAAAGCAATATATCATTGTTTGGGTATCTTATCTAAGAGAGTATTACATTTACGTTGTTTTTCAGTATTGGGGTAATTCCTAATTTTATACCTTTGTAAATGAAGTTATGATAAATATTGATTCACATGAATCTTTATTATTCACTTAGCTTTTTATTTTGTGAGGACGATGACCACAAAGTGAAACAAATCCGGGACAGGGAGTGTAAACTGTTCTTTGACCTGTGATAGACATGTCTGTATTACGTTAGAGAATGACTGTATCCATATCCACTCCTACCCAATGTGAGTTATCTTACTACAACCAAGAGCTAATTTTTCTTTAAGGGGTGGAAAGGCTTTCCTGTGTTTCTAGAGATGGAGCTGAGGGGGGTCCAGCACAACTACCCCTACTCGGCACTGAAGTTGGACTGAAGAACATTTTTGCACTTTGAACAAGTTACAAAGTGAAAATTGCAGATCTTTTATTTGCCTTTCTTCTTCTAATGAAGTTTAATTTGGATAAGGTTTTTACGTAAGGAGACTTGCAGGGCCTGGGAGAGGCCCAGATTGTAGGCCATTCTGGGCCATTCTTCAGGACTGAAGGCGGCCCTGCCTGTCTGTGCTGCCATAGTGCCACAGTGGCATGTTTCTCGTTCTTAAACTGGCTTTCGTACAACAACAACAAAATCATCAGAAGATTTAAAACAAAACTGTGCTCCCCAATCAGGCTTTTTTTTTTTTTTAAAGAAATTAAAAGGCATTGTATCCTCTGTTAAATATTTATGTAGTAGGCTATTGATGTCTTCATTTAAATCTGTCTTTTTAGATGTAAATTAGACATGGTTAGGGAGGTAGGGGACATGAAGACTCTTTCCCATGAAATGTTCAAGTGTGAGGTTCTTTCTGAACAGGCACCTTACTGGGTTTTTTTTTTCTAGAAAGCCTGCATGTGCTATTTTCTAAATGGAATTTTTATTTGATTTCCTAAAATTCTAAAATAGCCTCTTAGATTATTTAGGGATTTCTCATGAATAGCTGTACAAGGATTTTACCATCTAGAAGATTGCAGTTGTATGGTTCAATGAAATGCATCTGTTAAGCAAATGTGAGGATATGTTGTTTGTCTTATGATCAAATAAATTATATAGCAAGCAGGTCTTATAGAGAGACTTGTATAGCAAGTCTCTTTAATATATGTGCTCATTTAAAATTTTCAAACATACTTGTTCTTAAAGGCATAGGGTATCGGCTTTTGTTTTTGTTTTTACCTCCCAAAGTACCTTGGAATTTAAGCACAGTATTCTTTCAGAAAATTTTCTTTTTGTTTTTTTACATCAGAGACCTTGAATACTTAATTTACTTTTCTGTAAAGCTGTCAGTTGTAATCTGCAATTTAAAAAAAAAAGAAACTAATAAAACAAATCCTCATTTCACAATTTAAACCTTATTGAGTCTAATTCACTAGTGCTGCGAGTTGATTATGCTCCTGCAGTTTGACGTGCCTCCAATTGTAATTGTGTTGACCCTTCAATGCATTAAATCTCCCCAGTGCTTATCAAACTGGGAGAGATAAGTCTACAATTCGGAACTTCATTAAATATCTCATTTATATTAAACAGATGATAGCTTCTAACAGAAATAATAATTTGTTCAGATGAAGGAACCGCAACGGCTGTGGTTTCATCTGTTTGGAATGTGCAAACTCTCTCCCACTTTGCCGTGTTGTGCTGCTCCCCCCAGAACCCTCCCGCCAAGCCCTCTTTGTCTCTGGCTGCAAGCCAACACCAAGCGTCACGCGATATTAGTCCACGGGGTTAACCCCAGAGCCCACATTTGGACGACTGCAGTTAAGTGTGCTTTGTTCTTCCTCGAAGCAGATTTGTTTCAAGGCCTTATGAACATAGGTTCCTTATTCATATTATTTTTGTGAAGAATCTGACTTGGAGGCACAGCTGTTTTAAAGAATGCCACATACTGTTTTCATTCGTGGTGATAAAAATTGACCTATATTCTTTGCTTAGTAGATTGTCTGTGTTTGTGACATACACATCTTTGCTTCATTAGAATATTCGATCCCTACTTCTATATTGTTTGTCTGCTGTTAAAGTGTTTTTTTTTTTTCAGTTACTTACTACCTTATATTTAAGATTATAGTAAGAGAATAGAATGATTTTTTCCCCCAATTTCTAGCCAAAGAAATATAGGCTCATTGAATTGTTCAAGACACCCAAGCTCACAAGTGGTCTTGAGGTCTTGTAGAGTAGGCAGTAATTCTTGCAGCACACGCAGAGATGTGTGCTAATTGTTAGGTGTATTTACCTACCATAGGTCTAAATCATGTAGCTGAGTTCCAGCTTCCATTCTGATAAAGCATGCTTTGTGCAGAGCAACATCTCATAAAGAATTCTGAATTAAACCATAACTTAAATTGACTTCAACCGATACTAACAGTCAAATTGAAAAAATAAGCAGCAAAATAAGTTATAAAAAAAAGCTTTTAATATACATATTTTTCCTCCAATGGCTGCAGTCTGACAGAACTTCATGGGAGGCACAGTGTAAAGTGGCACGGAAAGTTGGTCATTAGGCAGAGCTGTCATCACAAATTATTTTGGTACAGGGTGAAAAGTTCTAGTTCATTTGGTACCCAGTTGGATACAGGCCTTGGGCAAGTTGTTATAATTCCCCCATGCTGCTAATGGGCCTCCAGTACTGATTTTTCCTTGCCCCCTTTTCTCTATAGCTGAAGTCACCTGGGAGCCCCTCTGGACCTGAGCTGCCCATTGAAACAGTATTGGATGATCGAGAACGAAGAATCTCCCATTCCCTCTACAGTGGGATTGAGGGGCTCGATGAATCACCCACGAGAAATGCTGCACTCAGTAGGATAATGGGTGAGTCAGGTAAAATTCTGTTTATCACAACTTATTTTTATGCTTTCCTGGTTCACTGGGAGGTTATTAATGTAATATTAATGTAAAGGAGGCCCATGTTTTCAAGAGGAAAAAGAGTAGGTTCATTATAATCATCCAGGAAGTGTTAATGTGAAGAGAGTAAATCAATACATTGATTTTGTTAAGTGAATTTTAGATCCTGTAACGTGTGGGGCAAAAAGAAAAGAAAGGAGTCACATGGTAATATTTTCAGTGATCAAGATATTTTTAGCTTGTTTGAAATAAGAAGTGAAGCCAGGTTTTAGGAAAAAATCAAAATGTAGTAGTGTGGGGCAAGAAGAATTCAAAAGTTGAATCTCTTCCCACAGCAGCACTGTTTAGAGGGAGAGGAACAAATACATATCTACACATTTGCATGTATATGAAATATTCGCATTTATTTGGTATGTGCTTAATAGGATGTTACCATTTTTTAATTGCATCTCTACTTTTTCAAAGCCCTCATTTTAAAATCTGGAAGCTAGTTTTTTGCATCCTTTGTTTAGATGCGACACCGTGCTGTCTGCACGGCCCCAGTGGGTAATGAGGTCATTAGCGCTTGCTCTGCAGCGGTTCAGCTTTCTACTAACAGATCCAGTTAATAAAGACTTGCTTTGCCACAGGAGTGGTTGGATTTACTGAGTTGCTCATCTTGGGATTAACTTGTGAGAGTTCTCAAATTTAAAACCTACGAAACTGTTTTGATTAAAATAGCACCTGACATAAAACACTTTTATCGCTGGTATGTGTCACAAGGCTCCCAAGTAAAACCCTAAATTTAACTCCATTTTGATACATTTAATGAAGATTTAATACAAATCAGGTTTCCATTATGAAGCCTCATTGGAGCAAGAATTTATTTCATTCATCAGTGGATGTTTCTGGAAAGCCTGCTATTGACAAGACATTTGTGTGTATACTGTTGCTCTAGATACAAAAATGAGAAAGACACAATCTCTGCATACACAGAACTCTCTTCTGGGCAAGACAGGAAAAACACATAAACAAGGCTAATAGAATTTTCTGTTCTTCCTTTGGACTTTCTAGCTTTCTGGTTTGGAAAAATTGATAAATTCTCAATTTCTTATTCTGTTGCACATAGAACTTAGACCTGCCAGCCTTCTGCTTTTACTTTGTCAATATTTTTTCTTTTGCCAGGTTGGCATAAATGGAAATAGAGGAAGGATACTAAAAACCATTCTACACCTGTTCGGTGACACACATTGTACATAGTTCACCACATTAATCTTTGCTTATTAATGATCACTCTTTTCACTGCTGTCGAATTTTCCATACTTTCTTGGTTTTGGTGTAAAACTTTATCTTTGTTAAATACTTTTTTCACTGATGAAAATTCAGACCCTTGAGAGAGAAAGAGAGTGCATGTGTCCCTGGATCTGTGTGCATACAAAGTGATACGCTGTAATTTCCCCTTTATTATAGGAACATAGGACTTGCCATACTGAATCAGACCATTGGTCCACCAGTTCCTGTAACCTGCGTCCTGCCTCCAATCCCTGATGCTTCAGAGGAAGGCGAAAAACTAAAACTAAAAAACCAAAAAAACCCAAAATTCACCTAGTGACCTTTTGAAATGTTGTCTATATGGGTTAAGGATTCCGTCATTTTCTTCATAGTCTGTTTGCCCTGATTTTGTTAGCTGTGGCTTCATTAGTCCACTTCAGTTAGTATTACTGTTGTTTTCCCCTCCCCCTGCTAGAAATGGAATGGACTTTTCAGACTCCAGATGCTTTCCCCTGGGCAGCACTTCCCTCCCAGCTATGTGCTCTGTGATGTACTGTGCATGCCCTTTGGGAGTGGGGGTGGCAGACTCTTTACCCTCTGATGATAGGCCAAGTTAATGTTGAATGATTTAGATATTTTCTTAAGCTAGCTTTTACACATTAAACTGGAAACTAGGGATCCTGTATAGTTTTGCCCTGAGAAATGTATATGCGTAACCCGATCCCATGTCTTGAGTTTTGCAAATTTGAGAATTCCTCAGTCTTCATCGTTCCCTATTCCAATATCAGCGACCCTAAGAAACAAATAGTTTGCTAAAATTAGAAATCATGGAAAAGATGTTAGCTGACAAGAAAATGCCAAAACAAGGTACCAAATATAAGATACTAGAGCATTGAATTCTATTAGCCTAAATCATTCGCGCTAGTATGCATTGATTTGCACATTACCTAGGTACATGGAAGTTTCTCAGGTAGCTCTTGTGTGGTTACAGGTTGTCTTTTGTATGTTTAGAATAACTCCTACATACACACTTGTGAACATGGTGGTATTTACTTCATGATCTGCTATGATTCAACTAGAGCTTTGTATTGAAATTCCAGCTTATTACTTTAAGAAATGACTAATTTTATGCAAACAGGGTGAGTTTTCACCTGTGAAAATTCATCATGTGAGACTCTAGACCAAAAAGGAGCTTTGCGGCTTTCTAACTCATTTCTGTGGGAACACATCTCAGGAGGGAAGCTTCTAAAAAAATAGATCAAAATAGGAAGAGATGTTAGACTTGGAAGGATGTCAGGGGTCATCAGCCACACTTTCCCACTTAACAGATAAAGGAACAAAGTCACAAGATCCCATGGTGATTTTTTGTTTTATGTTGTTTTTGGTTATTTCCTGTTTCTAAAAGTAGACCTCTCTGGGGAATACTGAGACCACACAATAACTATTAGTGACATCCATTCTTTATTAACATCAATTTATAAATATCTACATCTTTAAGCAAAAGACATTAGGCAGCCTCCAGAATCTGTTCTATTCTGGCAAACAAAGTGATCTAAAAATCAAAACCTCACCTTTGAAAATAACCTTAGGTATCTACTCCAACTGAATTATCTTCTGTTCAGAGGAATTAGGGATCAGGGAAATTAAGTGACAAGTCTGAAGCCACAAGGTTTCTGTGTTTCTAAATCAGTTAGGATGTGTTTTTTTCTGAGTCCCGAGTCCCACACTACTTCAACCTTCATCGGTCCTCCTAGCTTGTGGTCTAATCAACCAGAGTTGTCACCAAGGCAAGATTTCTTCAAATGTCTTCTGTATGGACCTACTTGCCACTATCACGGATATTCATCGAAAAGAAATCTCTGGAGATCCTACCTACAATTTCTTTTTTACAAAAGCCTTAAATTTTTTTTTACAAATTGCTGGACTATCTTAATCTAATAATCACAAAACAATAAGAGGCATGGTTAATTTAACCAACACTCTCGCCCAAATACATCACAAGTTGACATTTGGGGACATGGAACCTTAATTTTTTTCCCCAAATTTTCTTTTTAAAGCAACCCCAAATCTGGTGTATTCATGTTAGAATTTAATCTCAGTAGTTTTTATATTCATAGATTTGTGGTGAGTTTAAATAATACTTTTGTTCAGCATGTTTTTATCATGTTAGAAATTCAACACAGAAAAATGGAACATTAATGTCGTTTTTATTGTGAGTCAAATCACTGGAAAACTTTTCATCTGTTTCTAGTGTCATTAATGGTGTTGCCTTCTATGTAAATGTACCAATGAATAAACGTTTAGTGACCAATCATCTGTATCTCATTGTTTCACTCCTCTTTAAGATATTGACTGGTTTAAATTTTAGTTTATAGTTTGTTGGTTAACTAGTTGAGGAAGGAGGAATATTTATCCATCTAAAAACAGATCACAGGCTTCTCAAGTCACCCTTGGAAGGTTTCACGTTGATGATGTGCCCTGTACCAGCACACATCATTAAGAGGTATTGTTTAGGTGGAGTTTGTTAAACATGTAGTTTGATAATTGAGTTGTCCATTACTCCCTGTATATTCCTGCCTCCAGGTTCAGAAACCGCAATTCCTGGCAAGCATGTTAAGAAGTGGGAAATTGATGAAAAATGTGAATTCTCAAATCTTTGAAATATTAGCCCCCAGAATCATGGGTGAGAGAAAAAAGCTAAATTGTTTTCTTACTATTAGGAAAGTTTCTTGCCATTTATGCCTAAAATTTTGGATCACTTACGGTACAATATTTCTACTCAAAACAGCATATTATAAAAAAGGATTGTCATATGAAGAGCCATTCAGTGTTCCATATTGCTTATTAGGCTGTCTCTCAGAATATATTGTGTAAACCCAGGAGTTTTAGTTTTTGTTTTTAAAAACGAGTGCACTGTAATTACATCGTGATTTTTCCTTTCATTAAATTTTGCCTTTGTGAGGACTTGGCATTTAATGCTGTGACACGTGCCTTGTCAGTGGTGAGCTGTCAGGCATAACTGGTTTTGTCATTCTGTACACTTTTTGGGCAAAAAAAGTATGTCTTGAGAAGGACATATTTCTTTTGGTAATAGTACTAGAATGTCCAACCTTATTTGTGAATGATAATTTTTTGGACAGATTTCTGTCTTTCTGTACTAAAGTCCAAAAACTCAAGTAGTAAATGAGTGATTTGAATTCAGGAGAGGAAAACAATGAAGTATTAAATTTGATTTGCTTTATAATCATGAGCATTCATAAAAAGTTGCTAGTTTTCACAGTTTCTCAAAACGAACACATGTCAAATCAAAACAGAGTGTTTTCCTTGATAAAAAGCTGTGTTGATATTTCAGTGAGCATATAGTATTTCTATGATAACGTAGTTGGTGCTAGATGATGAATACACTTGAAATTTCTAACACGTCTTCTTCTATGGGTTGTCCTGGAAAGATATGTATCAACCTAAAATTTTTCCTTTGTTAAAGGTCTAGAATGATATATATCTTTAAAATCCTTCAAGCCTATATATGCCATCCCATAATTGCCAAAATAATGTGAAAACAAAAAAATCATCATTTGTACATTCTTATGAATGTTTATCTTAAAAATTAGATCTTAAGACTGATGTTAAAATGTTAAAAACTCTCCACATATTGCTGTTGTGCTATTTTATGTTTTTTTAATTTTTTAAAGTGTTTATTTTTACTTTTGAGAGAGAGAGAGAGAGACAGAGTGTGAACAGGGGAAGAGCAGAGAGAGGGAGACCCAGAATCCGAAGTGGGCTCCATGTAAAGTATAAAATGGTGCTTGTAGAAGGGAAAATACAGCAATCCGTTTTATTTGGGTAGGAGCCAGTAAAGCTGGCTCACCAGATTGGGATATTGGACTTAAAATGAGAGTTTTCCCCTCCTGCTGTAAAGTGACAGGGAAATTGTCAATTCTTGCTTTGTTGAGAGAGCCAGGCCAGTGGGCCTGCATCATATTGTGTTGTTTGTTTCTGTGAGCATGGCCTCTCATGACATATCCACTTGGACCCAAGCCTTGCACAATGAGTTCTTATTCAAAATTATGGCACAGTTTTTGAGGAGGAAGCCAGAAGAAGTATGGGTGCTTTCGGGAGGAAGATGGCATCATTTGGACCCCAGCTTTATCTTTAAGGATTCACGACTTGAATCATAATTTTGTCCCAAGAAATATAAACATCTGTCATGCTGACCCATGCACCTGAGCAGATTTTCCTGAAAGAAACTGATCACAGTAGACAGTAGAGAGTCTTTCTTTACCAAGAATGCTATATCCAAATTGAATAAATGAAAATGTACAGGCTCGGCCTGAAAATTTGGGCAGTTAGATCTTTTTTTTTTTTAATTTTTTTTTTTTTAACGTTTAATTATTTTTGAGACAGAAAGAGACAGAGCATGAACAGGGGAGGGTCAGAGAGAGGGAGACACAGAATCTGAAACAGGCTCCAGGCTCTGAGCTGTCAGCACAGAGCCCAACGCGGGGCTCAAACTCACGGACTGCGAGATCATGACCTGAGCCAAAGTCGGCCACTCAACCGACTGAGCCACCCAGGCGCCCCTAGGCAGTTAGATCTTAATCTTTTTGAGATCACTCTTGCCATCTCCCCACAAGGCCTTGATTCTGCATGTACTCATCTTTGAAGTGTCACCAGAATGCACTGTGAGCTTTTCTCCATCATGAATTTAATGATGTAGTAGTTGCTGATGTCTAAAATCAATGTCCTCATTTCTCCTAGCAGAAAAGATCATATTCATCATTCAAAGCCCGACTGTGATGTTAACTTTTGTTAAGATCCCCAGCATTCTCTGCCTTCAGCTACCCAGGCAATTACAGCACAAGTGAATGCCATAGTACTTTGAGCACATCCTTCACAGCACCAATCACTTATCAGTTTTTGTATGTCTGTCTCTTTCTCTAGGGTGTGAGCTGTTTGGGGGCCGAGATTTAAGTCTTTCTTACATACTTGCTATGTGGTATGTCCCAGTGAATGAATGGGTGAATGATTGATGTAAGTCTGCAGGGCTTCCCTATAAATTTCCTGGTAAAATTTTTCAAAGGACTTTTGCAACTTAGAATCTGTGTAGCATTTTCACGTTAGAAGACATTCTGGAGATCATCTTTGGCGTTAGGAAACTTGAAACCAGTGAAATTGAATACTGTGCCGAGAGCTACATAGCTGCCATGTCAGAGGAGGGAGCGGACTTGAGGCCTCCGCTGGACATTTATTTATGAAAAATAAATTTCCTTCATTCTATGTTGTTCCACCAGGTTGAGCAGATGTTTGGAAATGTAGAGTTTTTCTAGTGTTGTAAAGTATTAACATGAATACACATAATGGATATCTAGATGGATATCTAGAATTTCTCTTACTTTTTTTTCCACTGGGCAGGTAAATACCAGCTGTCCCCCACAGTGAACATGCCCCAAGATGACACTGTCATTATAGAAGATGACAGGTTGCCAGTGCTTCCTCCACATCTCTCTGACCAGTCATCTTCCAGCTCCCATGATGACGTGGGGTTTGTGACCACAGACGCTGGCGCATGGGCTAAGGCTGCAATCAGTGATTCAGCAGACTGGTAAGATCACGTGCCGGGGTTGGAAAACATGAGTTAATTGCAATCACCTTCATTTTATGTTTAAATGGTCTATCATTAAGTGCAGTTAATCAATTTTTTTATGGCAGTGTCCTATTTTCATGATTTTAATACTCTTAATAATCACTCTTTTAATAAAAGATTCCCACCAACTCTGTAATCTTGCCCCATTGTTTTAGCATTTACAGGGCTGTACTTAATAATTCAGCCAAAACTACAACAAAATTACCACTAACCAAAAAAGAAAAAAAAAACTACTCACTTAAGTCTCATTGTTAATTATTTTAGATCTGTTTTAATTTGATGATTATTATTTATTAAATCAGTTCAAGCAGATCTCTGAGGTGACTGAAAGTTTATAACAATTAGATGACTTTGGCCAAATTAATAGCTGCTATGTTCAGGGAGTGGGAAGAAGCTTTTTAAAGGTTTTCTTTTTATAGTGCTGTCACCCTGCCATTTAAAATGCTTCCTGCTTGCTTTTAACATTATGACTTTTGGGGCAGCCTAATGCTGTTTCTTTCTCCTGTATCTTCCAAAACATAATAAAGCATTTGATATTGTTGAGCCAATGTGTGGCACGTGAATGTGGATGTGTGCCACAATCTGCATGCCTAGTAATTATACACATCCAGAAGCCAAAAGGCAAGTCCCTTCTAGAGATGACCTTGTGAGGTTGTAGTGATAATTAACAAAGCCATGTGAAGTGTTATACCAGAATTTTCTTATTGCCCTTTCTCTGGGGTGTTCCATGAATACATCAGCAAAATGATATTTAAATCCTTTACCACTTACCCATTGCTGTTTTCTGTTCTTATCCGAACTTGTGGCCACATCCGTTATCAGATAGGAGGATTGTGGGGGCCCGGCGTTGATTTGTGTTAACAATTATAGTGGTGATCTTAGCAAAGTTACCCTCTCCCCAGCCCTCCTCTCCGCTCCTTACAAAACCACACAAGCATCCAGCACACTCACCTGTGAATTCTGCAGATGTTCTCTTGGAATAGTCCCACCTGTTATTTGGATCCTTGAAGAGTCCATCTTTGTCTTTTCTTTCTTTCTTTCTTTTCTTTCTTTCTTTCTTTCTTTCTTTCTTTCTTTCTTTCTTTCTTTCTTTCTTTTCTTTTCTTTTCTTTTCTTTTCTTTTATTGAAAACACAAGATGTAGAAATAGAGCGACACTCAAGCCTGCATGATATTAGCTTGTTTTTGAATGAGGTTTTTGGTTCAATGTAGAGGGGGAAAATACAATATAAAGTCAAATTCCATTTGAAATCCACAGATGCTGTTCCACATACTGCTGCAGTTTGTATCTGTTTCTGAAAGTGAAAGCAACAACAGGGAAAGTAAGGATTAGATATTTGCAGTATTCAACTTAGGGACAAAGCCTTTGAATCTCCACCGTGATGAGAATTGTGGAGGTGGCCATAGGAATAGATCTGTTTGGGGCCTTAGAAAGCACTGTATTGGTGAAAATAAATAAGTAACTAGCAGGAATAGATTGTGGCATTAATTTCTCTAAGGGCATCCATAAAATGGTAAGGACTTGTGCGATTTTGCTGTGGGGAAAGTGGAGCAAGGAAAGGAATATGAATGAAGGGTTATCCAAACAAGAATGGCAGCTGTTCTGAATCACAGCAGAAAATGTAAGCTTTTCCAGCCTAACAATATCTCCCTAATCCTTGATGAAAATGTTATGAAAACAAAAGGGCAATAAGACAGGATTAATAACTGGAATTTTAATAATGTTGGGGGGTCAGGGTATGGTTACATTCTTTAAAGAATCAGCTGTCAGTTTTGCAATCTAACTTGTTAAATATTCTAGTGTACTGTTTATTGTGTCTAAAATTAGTTTAATGGGTATATTGATAGGGAAGAATTAATTATGTCATGGTTTAAAAATATTTAGTTATTTTAAGACATTAACATATATACTCATTTGACATTTTAAATTGTGTATGTTTACAGTTCACTGCACAATTGTGGAAGGCTAAATATGTAAAATGGCTAAACTTTTAATTTGTTAATGTAGAGTATACTTTTTTCACTCCATTAATTGTTTCAGGGAACATTAATAGTGTTTTTAAGGATAAACAAGGTAAACCGGCAATTCTAATCTTAGTGACAACATCATTCCAAGGATATGACATTAGTTTAAAAAATATGCCGATGTGTGGTATTTAGGTAACATTAGCACGAACAATTTGTATTTCTTTGAACAAGCTTTTACCAATAATTTCTATTAAATATGTATTTCATGAGCAGAATATTGAAAAGATCAGCTTTCAACATATGAAATAATTATTCTTATTGAAAATAGATAATATAGAGTTTACTCTTGCAAAATTGCATCATAGTTGTTCTATGGGTTTTTAATTTTTACTTCTAGAACTATATTTTTCCTTTTTTTAGCATTTTATTTTTACTGTTTTTTTTTTTTAACTTTTTAAAATGTCTATTTATTTTTGAGAGAGAGTAGGAGGGGGTGGGGCAGAGAGAGAGGGAGACAGAGAATCCGAAGCAGGCTCCAGGCTCTGAACTGTCAGCACGGAGCCTGACCAGGGCTCCAACCCATGAACTGTGAGATCCTGAGCTGAGCCAAAGTCAGACACTCAACCAACTGAGCGACCCAGGCACCCCTAGGACTATATTTTTTAATTGGGGTATATGTGCTCTGGAAATTATAAGCAAACTATAGTAAGCATAGTAGTACCTGACTACTACTACAAGAGCATAATATATAAGCATACATCAATTTAAGAAATATGAGCAATGTGTAATTATATATATAATGTATGCTATAGCTATAAATACCTACATGCATGCACACATATATGTATACACAGTATGTAATCATAGTGATATGTTAGAGGGGCACTGAAGGCTTCAAGATAAACATGACCCTTTTTCTTAGTACACCAAATTTATTCAAAGTTTTACAGAAAAAATATGGTATATTAAAAATGAAAAGATTAAGTGTATAGTACAAAGAAGAAAACATTTATTAGGATATAACCTAGTCTTTTACAAAATAAAACTGTTCTTGGTGAACTCTCAGGGCCTGTAGGATACATCTCATTTCTCAATACCTGGGCCAGGACTAGGGTGAGACAAGCCAAGTGACCAGGATACAAAATGTAGGGAAGGAGTTACTGTCAGGTGTTGACCCTCTACTTGCCTGAGCCTGAAAGTGCTTCCTTAAATTCTGAGTAAGGGGCACCTATCTTGTGTCATCCTAGGGGCCCTACTCTGTACTTGGTGGAAAAGATTGGGAAAGGCTGTTCAGAATCCTTGGGTGTTTTTAAGGACCCCATCTCTGTTATAATTTGTATTATATTGATAATTTGAGATAGAAAGTCTTTGTGGGGTGATAATCACTTACCTTGTATAGTGGTTTGCAGTTTACAAAGGGCTTTTACATAATGTCCTTGAATTCCCTTATTGGCCTCTTAAGGTGGGTAAGGCTGCTATTCTCTTTATTGAGCATTATTACTACAGTAGGCTCAAAACATTTCAGGTCACTTAACCTGGCAGCAAAGCATTTTCCTTGATGTCTTTCTTTTCACAATTTTGGATTTAGCTTTTCTCTAAGAGCCAACTATCATTTCATGCACAGTAACTGCAGCTACATTTTTGATATATATCCAAACCAGATCACTCTTCCTTTACCTGTGTGGATGGTAATTCTCTATGGCCATAAAAGCGAGAGAAATTTGCTTCCATCAGAAACATAAGGAAGGCTGTCATAAACTCTGCTGGCATGGTGGCAGTGGCCACTGACCTTCTTAATATGTTTAGTTAGCTGTGGAAGGATTTTCTCCTACCTGGCCAGGTAAGGAAGGTGGCAGGGCGCTGACACAAAAGAGCGATTGACTTAGTGTGCCCAGCACAGAGAAAAACCATTTTTATTGTATGAACTCTGGTCAGAACACCTAGAAGTGCTTAAAAAAAATTTTTTTTTAACATGTATTCATTTTTTGAGAGACAGAGACAACATGAGCTGGAGAGGGACAGAGAGAGAGGGAGACATAGAATCCAAAGCAGGCTCCAGGCTCTTGAGCTGTCAGCACAGAGCCCCACGAGGGGCTTGAACTCACGAACTGCAAGATCATGACTGAAGCCGAAGTTGTATGCTTAATTGACTGAGCCACCCACATGCCCCCCTTGTGGTCCTTTTTAAAGTGTTCACAGATATTTTACGAATAGGAGTGATGCTGTGTCATCCCTTTCCACTTCCAACTGTGTCCTGTTACCAATGGTTTGCTGTGTGCCTCCTCATCTCTGCTTGGACTTCTGTGTTGGTGTCACCCAAATCAAATGTCATCTGGTCTCCTGTGTCCCTCCAGTACTGTTCATTCTCCCATCTGTGCATCCACAGCATTGGCTCGGTCCTTCTGTTGTAGTATTTTTGTTAGGAACTTGTAGATAACAGAGACCTTTTTCTTCTTTTCCTTTCCTGACTTTGGTACCCAGCACAACACCTTAGAATAGGTTCTCATAAAGATTTGTTGTGTTGGTTTCTTCTCCATTGAATAAATATTGCTGAGAAACTACATTCTCATGAAACTACCTGCCACAAAGGTGTTTTTTTCTACGTTTCTGACATCCAAGATTAAAGACATACTCATTTTACAACTTCTATTTGATTACAATTCATAGAGCCCCTTGTATGCTGCCAATATTTGTATTCATATATGAAAATTTTCCTCAGATATTCAATCCTTCCATTTTCTAAAATATACCAGGCTTATTTTTGATAGTCACTTAGAAATAATGATGCATTAGGGAACAGAGTGAAGAAACTGAGGGAAATAAGGGAGGAGAGAACTCACATGGAGAAAGAATGACTTTACACTTAAATTAATTTTGTATTTTCCCATCACCTCCTATTCAGCCACAGTTGTCTCGTTGTTGTTTTTTCAATGGACTATATTTTTGTTTCAGCATTTCTGGGGAATATGCATATATATAACTTTCATATGTGGGCATATATGATCTTTCCTAAAGTTGGATGTCCTCTTTTTTAGTAAATATTTTTATGTTTCTCTTTCTCTTCATACCAGCTCTTTGAGTCCAGATGTTGATCCAGTTCTTGCTTTTCAACGAGAAGGATTTGGACGCCAGAGTATGTCAGAAAAACGCACAAAGCAATTTTCAGATGCCAGTCAATTGGATTTCGTTAAAACGCGAAAATCAAAAAGCATGGATTTAGGTAGTGAGTACAATCTCCATGAATCTTTATCTAAATAAGGTTTAGATGCTTTCGGATTAAAATTGATAGTCCCAAACACATGTCTGTTTACTTTAAGCAATAGAAAAAAAAATTTGTGAAATGTGGCAATTTGGCAAAAATTAGTTTTTCTCTGAGTTTGTGATAACCATATTTCTCATAAGTGGCATGTTTACATAATGTGCAATATGTTAAAATATATGTTTTCCTGATAATCAAAGAAACAAACACATGCATATCATGCTATGTTCATGCGTCTTTATTTGGAAGATGAAGTGTTTTAACATTTTGGATGTTTAAAACCAACTTTTTGAAATCGTATTTGGTTGGCTGTGGGATTCTTGAACTAGAAGGAGAAGTTTTGGAGAGAAACCATTATCTCAATCCATGTCTAGAATTTGGTTACTTCATGATATACTTCATTTCGTTGCTATTCTTTAAGGTTTATTTAATAGAAACTCTTCTGTGTTGATAATTAAGGCATTTAATTGAAGTAATAATTTGGGAGAATATTTATTGTAGAAAGTGTTTGGAAGCAAATGAGAGGAGAAAATAACCATAGTTGTTCAATCAAACACCAATCAGGTAGTGTCTCTTTTTAAATCCAAATCCACCAAAAAGCAAACAAAAAAGTAAAGTAATTAATTATATCTATAAACCGATCAAATGATTTTAAAAACCTTTGTTAATCAGCTGAAACTTATTTATGCTGTTCTCTGGTGGCTGTTTGTACTTCAAGACTAAAAGCATTAATTTATCACATGCATAAAACAAAAATTTGGCGATGCATTGCCTTGGCTAATTATGATATGCTAACTTATAAATAACACACGTGTCTGTGAAATGACTGGCATTTTGCATGGAGACACTGCTTTTCCCCCCTTTTTTTGATTATGAATGTTTGCTTGATGTTTCATATTATTTGCATGACATATTACCTAAGAATGATCACCTAACTGGAAAGATCCGGGAATGGTTGAAGCATGTTGGGCTGTGGGGACTAACTGTGCTAACCAGTATACATTTACCTTTTAACAGTAGCTGACGAGACTAAACTCAATACAGTGGATGACCAGAAAGCAGGTAAGAATGGACAGTTAGACTGTTGCCATAGAAACTGTGGTCCAAGGAGCTGATCATAATTATAGAGCTGCCAATCATATTGCATGTAAACATAAATATTCCAGTCTTGCACGGATGTTTTCATTTTTAGGAAATCACATTGTACAAGAAAAGAAAAATTTCCTGTTAGAAGGAATTTATCAGGGTGGTACATACTAAATGGAAATATAATTTAGTGTTTCAAAAATGCTAAAACAACCTAGATTTTAATTATATTTGTATAGGAATGTTTTGTTGCACTTAAATAAAAATCAAAATCCTAAAAACAGTATCTCTTCTAGTAAACTCTTAAGTGTCTAAGTCATTTACTAGGTATCTAGCTTGATATCCAAATAATGGTTCTCAAACTGGTGATTTTGATTTGAAGGATAATAGCAGAAATATAAATATTTTTCACTCTATGACAGAATCCAATATTGCTGTCTTTCATTGTTCAGAAAACCTCAGTTTTTCTTCAGATGCAAGAATTGGCTTGTAGTTGTCTGACATTGAGTTAGACAATGTAATGCATAAGTTTCCTTATCTTGGCGTGAACCTGTTTCAAAGGTTTTGTTTTGTTTTGTTTTGTTTTGTTTTGTTTTGTTTTGTTTTAACTCATTAGGGCTTGCTTCTAAAATGCTGCCTAGGGGTGTCTGGGTGGCTCAGTCGGTTTGGCCTCCAACTTTGGCTCAGGTCATGATCTCATGGTTTTTGAGTTCAAGCCCCACATCAGGCTCTGTGCTGACAGTTCAGAGCCTGGAGCCTGCTTTGGATTCTGTGTCTCCCTCTCTCTCTGCCCCTCCCATGCTCATGCTCGCTCTCTCTCTCTCTCTCTCTCTCTCTCTCTCTCTCTCTCTCTCTGCCTGTCTCAGAAATAAATAAGCATTAAAAAATAATAATAATGAAGTTTAAAATGCTGCCATTGTGTAGAATCAATGGATTATATTGAACTGGGTTTTTCATTATATTAGATTTTACTTTTTATGTTATATTATGAAAATAATCACAGGAAAGTCTTCATGTATAATTAAAGTAATGTATTTTGTACAATGGCACATTTATGATTTATTGTTATAAGTTTGGAATAGTGTTTTAATTATTCTAGATCCAGTATGATGTAGTCATATCACTTAGCACTAATTAGCTTCAATTCACCTTTTTGACCTGCAGTAGTAATTAATTTTAGCCTTAAAAAATATGTATCTATATACATGTGTAAAGATTATTGTGGACATGGTTGAAGTTTTCATGTTCTGTAGAGTAAAAAGATAGATTGTGAAAATTACATCCAATAAATCATAGGATTAACTATAGTGGAAGGCAATTAACTATAGCCTCAGCCCTTATTATGTAGTTATTTCTCTGATCAAACATAAAATTCACTCAAACTCTGAAACAGGGCTAAAGAAAAACTATTTGATAGTTCATATATGCAAATGAGTAATTAGTTTTGGAGTTAATAACATTCAATACTTTTAAAGAAGTAAGCCCTGTCCAAATTAATGTTCATAAAAACCAACTCACACTGCTCAGGTTAAAGAACATGACTTTATATGCTACGCCAGTCAGGTACAGTCAGGAAATTATTTATTTAACTAACTTCCACTAAAAGGAAAAGACCATTATTGCAATTAAAAAAAAACTAATGATGATATCCATATATCCAGAGTTTAACTGAAAACATAAAATAATGTTCATGGAGAGAAGGCAGATTTTATAATCTAATTGAATCTTGTGTTTTTATTGTGTTTTAAAATGTTAGATCCTAGATAAAAAGAGCTTTTTCTTTTTTTCTCCCCTGCCCCCCACTGTGTACAATCTATCTTACCAAAGTAAACTGGAAAAGCTTGTGACAAAAAATTATTGCATAGACACCAAAGTACTTTTTAGTCTATCGGTTTTAAATCTACATGAATAAAATATCTAACAAGGATCTTTTCCACCCTGCAGTATTAGACAGTGAACAGATTTTCAGTTATTTTTCTTTCTTCACTTCACTTGAATTGCTAAGATGATCATGATTTTACAGTTTAGTCCAAAGGTTTTTGGTAGAGTCACAGTGGTATTTTAGCATAGATCATCTGTCTAGCCATAAGCCTTTCATAATGAAAATTGAATTCCATTTCCCTTCGCCCTTGCAAAAGACATCCTCTACTTTTTTTTTTTTTTTGGCAAGTGGGGTATTAGGTAGGAATAGAAAAATAGGCCTAGGGAAAATAGTATGATTATGATTTTCCCCTCTATTTCTGGATTTAAGGATCTGTTATGATATTTGGGGCAGGAGGAGGGGAGGATTTTCTTCATGAAAGAAAAGAGAGAACAAGAATAAGAAGAGAATTGGGTTTCTAACAGTTTAAATTTTTTACTTTTTTACATTTTATGTATTTTTGATAGGCAGAGAGAGACAGAGTACAAGTGGGGGAGGGGCAGAGAGAGAGGAAGACACAGAATCCGAAGCAGGCTCCAGGCTCTGAGCTGTTAGCACAGAGCCCGTCGTGGGGTTCGAACTCACAAACCATGAGATCATGACCTGAGCTGAAGTTGGACACTTAACCGACTGAGGCACCCAGATGCCCCATGGGTTTCTAACAGTTTAATCCTTGAATATAAAAAATAACCAAAGTATCCTAATGACCCAAAAGAGTTATAAAGAGCTTTAGAATATTATTTTACAATTAAAAGACGTGTGTGTGTGCGTGTGTGTGTGTAAATAAAACTAATTTTTAGCCCATACTTTATATAAAGACATCTTTAATTTTCACCACTAATAAAGTGCTAAGTTTATAATGTCAGGGGTCTCGGTAGCCCTCATTCAGGGATCTTAAGGTATTATTTAATAAAACTTTCATTAAAGTTTCTTTGACAAATATCATACTTAAATATTTGATATCCTTGTTACAGATAAAAAGTCAGCAAGCTCTTTCTGTAAAGGACTGGATGGTGAATAATGTAGGCCTTGCAGACCAGTCTCTGTAGCAATTACTTAGTTCAGATGTGACATGAAAGCAGCCACAGAATACATGCAAACAAATGGATTCTCTGGACTTGGCCCATGATTTGCTGATCCCTCGTAGATTCACACATTACAAATTTTGACTTTTTGTATAACTTTTTACTATGAAGATTTTCAACCATACATTAATGTAGATGCAATAATTCATTGATTTCCTGTCTACACAATACACATCATCACGAACATGTTATAATACAGTGTTAAAATTTCAGAGAGAAGAGTAGATAGGTAAGTCCTAAATTATGCTTACAGAATATCTATTGTTTATTTATAGTTTCATCATTTTTTTTACCAGATTTGCTTTTGTTTATGTATTTTAATGCATACATACACATATATATGTATTTATATATACATACATAAATATTTATATGCATTATATATAGATATACATTTATTGTGGTAAATACTCATGCGATTTCTGAAATTCATTATTAAAATGTTTAGTGCTTTGAGTACAGCTAACGTTTTGTGAAGAAAAAAATGATGTTTTTATGAAAATCTTTACATGAAGCATGAAATCTTTATTGGAAAAATATGGATAGATAGATATGAATACACATACATATGTACATACAAATGTCCTATATGCTCCCAATAAAGTGTCAAATATTTGCCTTCTCAGAGTTTATAGAACTCAAATACAACTGGTAGTTATGAAAATTGATATATATGCTTTATTTGGAGAAAGATTTTCCTAGTGGCAATTCTTGAAAGTATAAAGTAAACGTCCCTTTTCACAAGTGATCTTTTCCTATTCTGTTTGACTCCTTGATTTCTTACTCTTTGTTTAGTCCTGGAACCAAATTCATTTTCCTTCTTGTGACATGACTTTTAGGGTATTAGAACATGAACTTGTCAAAAATTATAGTGCCTATCAAGAGAAAAAGTAAGATTGATCATCCTGGGAAGAAACAATTCATGTGAATTTTTGTCATAAAATAATCAAATATATACGATCCTGCACTGAGAAAGTTCAATAAATCATCTTTTTCTTCCAAGCACAATAATTGATGGAATATTATTTCTTCATTAGAATCATCTGTCTGCCTTTCTGCCTATGTTACATTTTTGACATATTTATTCTAAGTTAACAACTGCTACCCCATTGCAAAAATTAGGTGCAACATGTAAATGAATCTTTAAAAGATAATTCTTGTTTTGACTCTCAGTTTATCTTTTATTCTGTTTTGTACTCTGAGCCATGCAAAGCCCGTGTCATAATTATTTGCCTTCTACGTGATAACATGTCCAGGCTACTCCTTAATTATTGATGAACATATGTGCTTGATGACCCCATGTAGAGAGAAACTACCTGCTCTCTCCTACCTTCTCATTTTTTTGTACCTGTCTTTTTAACAGTCTAAGTGACGAGCTAATTCTAAAACCTGGGTTGCCCAGGCGGTGGTACCAAGCTGGTATTTCAGTCATCGAGAGGCCAACTTCATCTGCCTTTGAGTGCTAGGTCAGGCAGTGATGGATGAGGCTGTCTTTCTTGCTTAAAGAAATCCATTTTGATTGCCTTTTAAAGCTTGGTACTGCTGGTATTCTCTCAGGCCTTCCTGCCCTATATCCTCAAGAAACAGAGCCAACTTGTTAATTCCCTGAGTCCTCCCCTGCCAGTCTAGTGAAATTTTCTTCTTAATTGTGAACTCTTCTTCCTTTTGATCATTGCTTGTTTCACAAGCAGATATCGTTCCCAAGCCTGTAGATGTATGGACTTGTATTCCGCTCCGTGGTCTCTCCTATACTTCTCTCTAGTGAGAGCCCTTATGTAATTTGTTTCTATTCAAATCTTCCATCATTCTCTGCAATAGAACATTAATATTTCCCAGGTTCAGGTTCCTGCCTGTTGCCAGGGTGCCCTAATTATATTGGTGACATGTGGTCTTTTGTGCTCTTTCTACCTACTGAGTTGTGTGAACGTGCAGTACGATGCGGAAGAGATTTCACTGAGATGAAAGTTTAA